AGAAGCTGATGGAGCAGATCTGTGCTTCATCAGCTTCTTTTGGGGGGTCCTAGGTGACATTAGGGGTCTTGGAGACCCCTGATGTCTCCATAAAGAGGACCTGTCACATATTGTGCTATCACATAGGGGTTTTTTATTAGCCCCGTATGTGATAGCAATAAAGTTTAGTAAAACAAAAAAAAAATGTAAGCCCCCCCCCAAATTTTTTTTTAAAGTTACACATAAAAAAGAATAAAAAAACAAAAAAAATGTTTAAGTCCCCACCCATACATACACGCATGCAAACATGCAGAGGGGGGCGCATACATGCAAAAAAGACGATTGCGCTCATTACGCTGCACATGTTACATATCGCCGCGAACGTTGCAGTGAGAGCAATAAGTCTAGGGCCATCAATCACTGATAACACTAAACTGATGAGCGGTAAAAGCTTTTAAAGTGTCGCCTATGGCCAATTTTGGGTATGGTAGTTTTCTGCGATTTCGCGTGTGCGCGCAATTTTAAAGCTTGACATGTTTGGTGTCTATTTACCCGACGTGACCCCGACTTTTATATTTTACCAAAAAAATGGGTAATAATAAATGTTTCCTAACATAATGTAAAAAAATAATTATTTTTTCAAATTTTTCTGTAATTTTTCCTAATTATAGTAAAAAATAAAAACCCCAGTGGTGTTTAAATACCACCAAAATAAAGCTCTATCTGTCCCCAAAAAATTGGTGATGTGTTCTTGAGGTGACTGGAGCAGATGAAGATATTCAAGTGTTCTGTTGTTGGCTGTGGAAAAAAAACATCCTGTTGTGGTGAGCAAAGTGATTATAAATTATTCCCTTGGGTATTGCAGTGGCCTGCGCTGCCTTAATTACAAATCAGGAGATCTCTGTAACTGATCAACACAGAGGAGGTATCAGGGATCTGAAAGACCTCTAATGCTTTTTTTAAAAAAAAACTCTCCTCCCATGCTTTGTGTTTGCACATTGTGTACGCTGTCTGCACTACCTCTACTGTTCTGAAACAGACACACTTTTGCTAGTATTGTATTACAGTGCGAGATGTTTAAATTGTTATAGGTACCAGGAAAGACACACTGCTCTCAGTGATTCCCACAGACCTGGTTACACACACCCCACTCCTTCCCTGCAGTACAAATCTCTATAAGCAAGCTTGTGCTGAGGGGTGTGGCTGTTACTCAGCCATGTCAGTACAGTCCACTGGAGAAATAGGCAGGAAGCAGCATTTTCCTTGCTGGTAAAAGGTGTTTCAAAGTATTCCCAACCATAAATCAGTCAGAAATTGTATAACCTGTGGGGTTACAGGTCTTTAAAGAGATACAATTATATCTACATTTGCAGAAAGAATTATTAATTATTACCTTAAGGAAAAGTTTTGTTTTTCCTACTTTCCATTCTTCATGTTTTCCAATAACAGCTTCACAAATATCAACACTGCAAGCCTGGTGATCCAACTAAAAAAGAGAAATTATTATATTTTTCCTTTTACGCAGTAAAGGAAATGCAGTTAATGCAAGTATGGTAAATGGTTTACACAACAACATATTTGTATCCATACTATTACAGTAAATTAATATAAAGTTCCGATATCTATTATCTCAACATAAGGGAATTTTCCACAATTTGCAGACACCTGCACTTGATTCTACTCCTCCGATTTACAGGATATATACAACATTCTCTTGGCCATGTGAAATAATTTTTGTGGTGTCTAAGGTGGGAATTATGAACACTTAAAATATTCCTACTGGACCAAGTAATGTTTACTACTGTGTATTTGTATGTTTCACTATTTCATTTCATCTCATCTCATTAAAACTAATTAAACTAAAAGTTTTATAAAGTAAACAACACACACCAGACCTATCTTACTCAATAATTTCACTTACTGCTAATTTTCAGCAACCTGTGCCTAACTCACCCCAAGCTGTTTGGTTTTGGAGTGGGGCTTTAATAAAGGTTACATTTCTTAAAGTTGCATGTCTTTATAATATTACACGTTGTCATTTATGAAACTACTATATTTTACCTTCTTGCGATTCTGAGAACCTAATGGCATCAACACTCGAAATCTGTGAAAGAAATCGGAGAAGCTGTAACGGATCGGATACCCTGCTTTTCGGATTCGTATGGTCTCCATCATTCCAGAGTATCTCAGTTGCCGAATAATAAGCTCACGATCAAAGAGCTGAGAAACACAAGAAACATATGTTTCAGAGCTGAGTACAGTAGAGCCTATAGTGCTACCCTTGTGAACCTTTTAGCCCTGACCCAATTAAATCAATTGGCATCTACCTTATTTTGAACAGACCAAGTAAGTCTCCCAAATTTCTTGTCAAATGCACAGATTGTATATTAAAAAAATCTGAGAGTCTCTTCAAAACTTATATTTCAGTCAAAGATGGATGATGGAGGCCTAAATAAAAGATCTTGTATATCCTATGCTCAGCCCTGGTATATATTCCAAATAAAAAATGTTTATCCCTAAATTTTTGTATATTTGAAATGGCAAAGTGCCGCATATTAACAGACTCAGTCTGCATGCCCATAAGGACATGGAAGACGTATCGGTATAAAATCTCCAACATTACTTTTGTGTGGCTCAGCTGACATTCTTTAATGATTGGTTCAATCCCTCTCTGGAAAATATGGCCACTGTCCTAGCAATGACAGATGAAGGGTTCAATTAATCTCTTAAATATGAACTTTGGGGCAGGTGTTTTTCCCCATAGTTCTCCTAATGGTCATGGGAGGACATAAACTAGCGTCCTCCCGTGACCCAATGCTCAGTATATCGCAAGCTACAGCTCGCTGTATACTGAGACCGCCACAGCCGGGATGGATCCCGACATTACTGTCAAGATCCACCCAGCTGCGTGATTGACAGCTGGCTCTGCCTATCTAGAGGCAGAGCCAGCTGTAACCGCCCCCTCCACTGTCCGTTCCACCAGTCAGCGCTGGAGAATCGGAGCGGGGAGGGAGTGAATCTCTGCAGGGAGCTGTGAGTGACAGTCACGGCTCTCTGCAGGGACAGGATCGAGAAATGAGTGAGTGATGGTATGTGTTCGCTCACTTCCCGAACTATTGAGCCGACGTGTGACAGCTTCATTGTCACACGTCGGCTCGAACTATGAGGTTGAGTGAAAATCACTCACCTCATAGTTCTCCTTTAAGCCCTTGCTCCATAATTGCAAGAAAAATTCACCTCCAGACCAAGGCATTGTAGCATGGCATAAAGCTAGAACTCTAGGTAATTGTGGCACACCAATTTCACGCAGTACTCCTCCATGGTTTAACTCTCACTTTAAAACTCTTAACGATTATATAGAGGGACTAAATATGCTTGTCAAATCATATGAACATCTTACCATCTGTTTTGAACACCTGAAATATACCTTTGAGTTGAACAACTGCCAACTCGAGGTACCTCACTCTTCATCATGCTGTTCAGGCTCAACTGGGATCACAGGCACTGACTATACAGGTTTCTCCTTTTGAAAATCTACTGTGCTTATTGGTTGTCTCCAAACAGGTGACAAACATATACAATGTTTTCCAACAACAGATCTCTGCCCCCTTTGATAAAGCCTGGTCACAGTGATCTAGAGACTTACCATTCTTAACTAAAGAGGACTTTGAGGAAGCGGAGGAAACTTTTTCTACACAGTAATAAGCACATAGGATCTTCTATAACAATTCTAGTTCATTCACATTCTTCATGTTTTCTGATCATGCTCTAAACTTTATTCTAGGCAACAAATGGACTCTTTATTAATGACAACGATGGGTTTTGATCTACCTTACCTCCCAGAACTTTACCTCCTTGCTATATTGCAAACTATATTATGGGAAAACACCCTTAACAACTAATTAGACTTTTGTTGTTCTATGCCAGAAAAGTAATCTTCCTAAAATGGAAGGATATCTTCACTCTGGACAAAAAGGCATTTGATAATATTGTCACTGACATTTTATCAAAGTACAAACAACTCTATATTAGTATGGTTTGCCCAAATACATTTGCAAATAATTTGGGGATCAGGGTTAATGTCACTTCAGAACCTGGTATACATTTTGTTTCAGACTGTGTAATGCTTTGTACTGAGTCTTGCTAACCATACATCAGTGTATGTTAACTTTTTACCACTGAACTAAAAGCATATGTCTAAGTAATGCAACATGCACCTGGTACAATATTTCTGTACAGAATTAAGGCAAACACAAAATAAATTTACCACACCAAAAAAACTAATAAGTACAATACCTGGCCTGTAACCTCAGCCAAACCCCTAATTCCAATCCTTCATCTAGACTCTAAATATAATTCTAAAACTGAACCTAGGCCCTAAATATAACCCCAATCCTCAAGCCATAATCATTTCTGTGATTGCACAATCACAATAAAAGTACAGTATTATCACAGAAATGAGAACATCATGCTGACACTATTAATGATAAGAATATCGTGCCAAACATTTTAAACGTTTTCTTCTGAATTATCAAGACCAACATATTGGCACTTAAATAAATTGCCATTCATGACTGACCCTGAAATGTGTACCCACATGTATATGCCAATAGAAAATGTTCCACTAGCCTGTCAGTCTCTTATACAAACACAAAATGTGTAATAAATCAGCTTTAAAGCAGGCATAAAGATTTTTGCTCTCAAAGACTTAGTCAAGAAACTCTAGAAACAAGACCTATATAATAGGTCACACATACCAATGGCTTCTTCAAATTATTGGGCTTGATGCAACGGACAAAGTAAGGCTGGCAATTTCCCAGAATTTTCATCAGCTGCTCCAGTGACTGTTTGAACTGTCCTCCAAGAGTGGGTAATGACTTGTTTGTGTCTGAGATCTGCAGGTGAGTAGAGGACACAAAGGATTAAATGCTGCTTAATTTAGAATGAACTTCTACTTGACAAACATGGTTTGTGTTGTCTTAATACTAAGTGATGTTCTGATACTAAGGGTTGTCCTAATTGCCCTAAAAAGTTATATTTAGAGAATCTATTTAGACTGGAAATTCAGTATAACCACTTTTCTGAGTATCCATGTACAGTTGTCACATGATATCAGTAGAGAAACAGTGGAGTGGTGCATCCAGGAACAGACACATAATTGAAGAGAAAATGAGTACAATTTTTATATCTACCTTGTTATTTACTTAGTGTTTATGTAACATGAAATGAGGTACTGTCAAAAGGACCTGTCACTCATGAAATATCTAATCTACTATTCAGATTGATGCAGCTATAACATTTTCCTTTACATGTTTTATTACCGTAACTAGCAAGTTTTAAAGCTGTGGTATCCCATTCTATGGAGTATGCTGGTTTACCTCCCAGCTGAAAGCCTGGGGAATAGTGTTCATTTCAAAACACTGCTGCTGTATGGCATTTCTCTCCCTTCTTCAACCCATGTCAGAGTGGAGAAGCTGAGCAGTAAATTAAGGAAAAGATGGTTTTGCTAAAAGGCATGAAGTTAAAAAAAGGGATGGAGTTAAAGGAAGACTAGTATAGAACAATAGGAATAAATAGGAATAATGCATTTGCTATATTGGGCAATTTAGTCCAGGATCCTAATCAAGAGTCGGGAAGGAGGGAGCTCTAAAAATGGCTGTTTTGGCAAATAAACTGTAAATAAAAAATTCATGATTTATGAAATGTAATTTTCAAAGACATTAGAACTGCATGAGATGGTTGGAAGAAAATGTGTGAAGTTATATGTATGTCTTGAAAGTTTTTCCATCTTAATTTGCAGCACATCACAATAACCCTTAACAGGTGGTGAGCTGAATGAGGACCCAAAGAAAGAATGGTAACAACCTTCTGGCCATTGAGGCCCGAATTCCGGATGATTCCACGAATGGAGGAATTATTGACGTTTTTATCTAACTGGAAGACCTGCTTCAAGAATTTATTGGTAGAAGAGTGGACCATAAGGATAAAATCTGTACTCAGCAAGTCACGGTTCTTGTCCAGAAATCCTGCATCAGAAAAAAATAAAACATTATGCATCCAATATTCTCTATTGGAATCTCTGTTTATTGGTTTACACGGTAATGTAAATATTACAAGTATAACATTATTAACTACAATATTGCTTGTAACATGCGTATTCAGCAATACAGAATATTCAATAAAACCTTTCTTAACAACATTTTTGTTCATGGGTTGTTACTTGTGTGTTATGGTTTGTCATTTCGAAAGTGCAGATAGTTGTGTAGGGAAAAGAAAGTGTGCTTGTGTGTGTGGGAGAAGGGTGAATGAGAGAGGATTAAGAGGGAGCATGGCAGGTTAATGGGTAGCTCCCATGCTCAGTATTGGCAGGTCCGAGTAAGAAGGGTTGTACAAAACTATATTTCTTGTAACAAAGCAACTCCTCGTCAAAGCTGAAATGTAAAATATGGATTTTCAAGCATATTTAATGGGTTATGATCATCCACAAATCTGGACCCAGAATTTTTGCACATTATCACAGCTCAGGCCAATTGTAAATGGTTTTAAACAGCAGACAAAGATAATAGAGAATGTGTTGGTGACCAAAATGTAAATATTAACTAAACATTGGCAACAGCTTTTTATTATTTTAAGAAAATCTTCTATATTACGCACCTTCTGTTTCATATTGTACCAGTCCTGCAAAATGGGTTATTCCAAACTTTGTGTCATGCACACTTTTAGATGCAATGTATATGTTACTTTTACTGTGAATTTTGTTAAGTTTCGTCAGCATGGTGGCATCTGATCCCTAGGAAAAGAAAAGGAAAATCAAACATAGCTGCTTAAAGACTCCAGTAAATGCCCAGACGGGGTATGTGCTTACAAGCAGTATAATAATTTTTAAACTGCAAAGATTAAAAAGGAAGTACACCGAGCTTCAAGGAGACATCCAATTGGCTGCTGATAACATTCTGTCTTCATTTTATTAAAAAGTAATAAATAAAGCAGGCCTGTGCTAATTATAGCTTCCTAATATATGCACGATTCATTCATTCAAAAAAATATTATTTTTAGTGTGTAATAAAAGGAATATAGAATGATAACCAACCACATTTTATTTTCAAATTATGAAAGTGGAATTTTAAGTGCTGTCCATGGTGCGGAAAGAACATGTATAACCAATCACTAAATTCTTTTATAATTTTTAACATGTTAATGTCATTTTAAAAAACACTTTCAATCTTTTTTAAAATCTACAGCTTTCATTTAAATAATACGTGGTGATCCTGCCTTTAAGGTCCTTGTTTAAGCACTTCCTATTAAGGTGTGACAACACTCCCTGTCTCCCATTTACTTCTATGCATTGTCACCCTGTCAAATATGCTTCTGGTGGAAACAATGGAACTGCTTTAATAAAGAGGCTATTCACTTTGCAAGGGAATTTGCACTTTGCAATGGAGGTTTAGCTTAGTGAGTGAGGTGAAGCTCTGCTTACTTCCATCATCTCAGCACGGATGTCACACCACTACCTCAAACTCAATCTGTCAAAAGCTGGGCTTATAATTTTTCCTCCTCTCCGTGTTCCCTCCCCCAACTTCCCCATCACTATCAATAACACTACGATCAACCCTTCCCATTAAGCCAGGGTACTCGGTGTAATCCTTGACTCTGAGCTCTCCTTTCAGCCCCACATCCAATCACTATCCAAATCTTGCCGACTCAACCTCCGTAACATTTCCAAAATACGCCCCTTTTTAACAAACGAAACCACAAAGCTTCTAATTCACTCCCTTGTAATCTCTCGACTCGATTACTGTAGCCCCCTCCTTGTTGGCCTACCACTAAGCAGGCTATCATGAATGCTGCTGCCAGACTCATCCACCTTACCAACCGTTCAGTGTCTGCCGCCCCCCTCTGCCAATTCCTCCACTGGCTCCCACTTGCCCAACGAATAAAATTAAAAATACTAACAACAACATACAAAGCCATCTACAACTCCGCCCCAACCTACATCACTGATCTCATCTTGAAATATCACCCAAACCGTCCTCTCCGTTCCTCTCAGGACTTCCTGCTCTCTAGCTCTCTCATTACCTCCTCCCATGCTCGCCTCCGGGACTTCTCCAGAGTGTCCCCCATTCTCTGGAACTCTTTACCCCAATCTGTCCGCCTATCTCCTACGCTGCCCACCTTTAGGCGATCCTTAAAAACCCATCTCTTTAGGGAAGCCTACCTCATCTCAACATAACTGCCTTTTACTTCCTCCAATAACTCAATCCAAACAATTATTACCTTTTGTATCACCTGCCCCTCCTACTAGATTGTCAGCTCTCACAAGCAGGGCCCTCCAAACCCTATTGTTCTGAAACTGTATTATATTGTAAATTGTATTGCAACTGTACTGTCTCCACTAGTTTGTAAAGCGCTGAGCAAATTTTGCTCAGCACGTGAACCCTATCCTAAAATCTCGCATTAGTTAGATAAGCTTTGAGCCAAAAAGGCTTGATTGTAGGAAGGCGGGGGGAGGCAGGAGAAGGTATGGGGGGAGGGAGGTTGACAGGGTGGGAAGGTAAGTTGGGTATGGGGGTAGGTAGATTTAGGATCATGTCTTCACATAACACATACTACTTATGGTCTGTCATGAGTTATACATTTGTTGTGCTGTTTCCAAAGTCGTACAGAGTTCTTTTAAGTAGTTAAACACCTTTTAGCCACAGAGTCATCCACGCTTAAACCTTAAACCCCCCGTTTGGTGAGGTATGCTGGGGTCGTCTTATACGCTAACCAACACGCCCATGTTTTCGATAGACGCTCTATTTGATCTGGTTCGGTAAGAGTGAGTTCCTCCATGCAGTAAATCTGTTCCACCCTGTCCAGCCACTCTAGCAGGGTAGGCGCCGCCTCACTCTTCCATTTGGCTGGAATTAAGGCTTTAGCTGCATTGAGTAAATGTGGTGTGATGGAGCGAGCATAGCGGCCCATTGATCCCTCGGCTCCATGAAACAACATTTCCAAGGGGTCCAGATGCACTTCCATTCCCTGAATATGGAATATCTCGTCCGCTACCTGTTGCCAAAAGGGTGTTATTTTCGGGCATTGCCACCATATATGCACGTGTGTGTGGCCACCTGTCCACAACCCCTCCAACACAGCGGGGTCACTGAGCTATCTATCTGGTGCATTTTCTGAGGGGTGTAATACCACCGACATAATAGCTTATAGTGGAGCTCCTGGATACCTGAGGATCTGCTCAACCCCCTTGAGAAGGCCAGAACACGCGTTCTGCGTTTCTCAGTAAGGGGGCAGCCCAGCTCCCTCTCCCAGAACGCCAAATAGGGCGGGTGGGAGGAGGCGTCTAGACGCGACAAGACGCCGTACATGGAAGATATATTCTTAGTGGGGGCTGAATCTGCTGGGAAGAGCAGTTCCAATTGGTTCAGGTCCCTTTTGGATCTCAATGGCGAAGGGAGCTGCCCTACAAAGTGTGACAGCTGACCATATCTCCATACATCCATGAAGGAGGGCCTGGGTGATCCACACAGGGAGGAGAGGGGTTCGATCCTCCCTCCCTGTATGATCTGGTGTAGCAATAGTTCGGAACCTTCCTGGATCCATGTGCGATGTCCCCAATCCATGAGCCCCGGCGGGAAGTACAGATGGCCCAATAGGGGCATCAGAGGAGAGTTGTACGGCCATTTTTGTTTAGAATGGAGAACTTTACCGTTCTTAATTTAACTTCATGCAACTTTTAATTTCTGTATTTTTATTTTTCCTAACTTATACTTGGTCCCAAATTTCAGGTGGGTAAACAGACAAGGAGCACAGGCCCCTTGTGAAGTGAGGATGAAGCTGGCCAAACCCTAGGGACTCCCTGTGTTCCCTTTTCAGATCATTAGGTACAATACCATATTAGGTCAAATATCTAATATGGTGAATGAAGTAAGCACCTTGATAAATAAGATCTACAACAGTAATACATACTTATTTCTCATATATTGTTTCTCATTTTATGCTATGAATCACACATGTGATAAATATAAACTATACTGCCTGTGAAGGTTCTCTTTTATCCAGGTGATGGTATAGCTAGCTGTAGTTAGTTACATTAAACTGGACATGTTCTGTAATGGTTTTTTCAATCAAATATTTTTTTTATTGCCACAGATAAAGTTTTTGCAATTACATCATGGAAGATGAGACCTACATTAGAGAAGATTATAGTATCTTCATATAGTATCTTCATTACAGAAGATAGTATATGGTTAGGAAAAAGCATTAGAATGACAGTACATAAAAAGAACCAAAACAGCAATCTTGATTCCTCTCTAAAGTTTTCAACAACACAGTGTTGAACAATATGTACAGAAAATACAGTGGTGCAGCAAGACATCAAGTACATGCAAAGTGCAACATGAAAAGGGTTAGGCACCCCATCCACTGTGCACAGCAGGTTCTGTAATGTTAAAGACGTTTCACTGGTTATAAAAATAGCTTCTTTGGCAAAGCTATACTCTTTTTTTTTTTCCAGAAACTGTTGTTAGATCCTTACCTTGGGAAATTTGCTTTCTTCATCAATAAGTGAGATGATGTTCATGGGCTTTAGAGCAATTATATCCAATGTACGTTGGTTGTCAGAGAAATCCACAATTTGCCATTGTATCTGCTCTGCAGCATATTCATCTTGCTCCAGCTTGAATATATGACGCACAAAAAACTGCTGAAGGTGCTCATTGGCAAAATTAATGCACAGCTGCTCAAAGCTGAAAAGATAAGGATGTGCATAGGTAAGAATTTACTACTATGGCTGAAAGGAAGGACTCATTTTCAAATAAACCACAGATATCTATATTACACATTCTTGTTTTCTGTGTCCAAAATATTTATGCTCTTGCACTAAACATGGTGGGGAAAAATAAGGGGATGGTTTTTAGAATAGAAGTTTTGTGTACTAATAAATTAGATACTTAGGGGGTTACTCACTAAATAGACAAAGGATCCAGCCGTAGCTTCGGCTGATCCTTCGGCTCTCTTCGGCCACCTCGGCCCTTCAGTTCAGTTGAACTGAAGGGCTGCTGTATGGGCTATTCACAATAGCCCGTACAGCAACTGAAGGCAGCCGAACAGCTCAGCCGAGCCAAAGGCATTTGCTTCGGCTCGACAGCCAAAGTGACAGCCGAAACAGGGAGAACAGCTTACCGAAGGCAGGCCATTCTCCACGCAAATGACAGCTGGGCAGAGCCAGCTGTGATCTCAGTTGTAATGACCTGGGGACGCTGATCTGTCATTAAACAATAACAACTGGGCCCAGTTGTTATTCATTGGTCGGGATCTGCTTGAAGACTCTGGCAGGTGCTGGCCAATAGAAAACAGTTGGTCAGAGCTAGCTGTCACCAATAGCTCCGCCCAATTGTATTTTTTTATTTTCTTTAAAATATTTTTATTTTTTTAAATTTTCCTATTTATTTAAATTTTTTCAATAATTTTTCAACTCTTATTTTTTTTTAATTTCACTTATTTTCTTTTCTGCTCGGTACATCAGAGGTACCGAGCAGAATAGCCTAGTCGAATGCCACTCGGCGCATTCGGCTATTCACTCACTGCCATTCGGCCCCTATTAGAATAGGCCGAACGGCAGTGAGTAGCCTGCCGGAGGTTCGGCTCAGCCGATCCAGATGTTGGATCGGCTGAGTCGAACTCCTACTGCACTTCGGCTCAGCCGAACATGCTGAGCATGCTCGGCTGAACCGAAGCCAGCCAAAGCAAGGCGATGTACAGCTGAAATCAGCCGTACAAGCCTGAAGTGAATAGCCGAACAGCGTTCGGCTCACATCACTTCGGGTCAGTTATTCACTTGGCTGCCTTCGGCAGCTTTGTGAATAACCCTCTAAGATACAATACAGCTATCTACAATTCAGCTTTAGCAGAACAGAGTGGAAAAGCTTTAGTTCTATCTGGTTAAGAGCCACTTAGTTATAGTCTGCTGGATGGAACGGGGGGTTGCCTATATTCTAATTTCTTCGAATTGCCCTAGTTTTACCCATGTCTTTAAAATAACAACAAACACACCTTTAGAAATGTTTAGTAATGACAATCTACAAACAGATACTTCTAGATAATTGCCAGGTGTCAAAAATGTCAAAAGTGTGTCAGTCATTTACGAACAGAAACTAAAAACAAGCTCAGTCATGAAGGGGTTAATAAGGCAGATTACTAGCTCTCCTATTACTTCCTGGATTTCTGGCACATGTGACTAGACATGTGAGACACAGACATATTTTAAAACCTAACCCTATGGCTCCTCTGCCCTCAATCTCCTTCCCCGCAAGCAGGAAGTTCGGACGGAGGATCACTTCAGGGACAGGCAGCGGTGACAAGGGACGCTGACAGGTAAGTGTGGGGGGACGGGGGATTCAAAAAGGTACTGTGTGTTTTTTACCTTACCTTAATACAGAGAATGTATTAAGGTAAAAAATGCCCAGCCTTTAGTAATCATTTAAGGCACAGATGGAAAGTCCTTTTATGGACCAGTGATTGCACATTCTGATTGTGCTGCACAGCTAAGCAATCCCATTATAACAACTACAGCAGCTGATCTTTATGATATGATTCTGTGGAAAAGTACATTCAAGGCGGTGCACACTTTTTATTTACTTTATGGGTGAGTACCAGACCTGCATGGGTAATCAACTTGTCATAAAGATGGTTAGGGTTGTAATTAAATGTTGGCCTATAAATAGATGTACAGTTTCTATCATAGAATGTCTGTCATCTGGAGAAAGGGGGCCTCCATGCTTCCAAAACATTGGTAGTTTTGTTTTCCTTTTTGCATGTGATTTTTACTTGTTGTCCTTCGTAAACATCTGAGGTCTTAAAAGAGAACTATGGGGGGAGTGTTTTTCCCCATAGTTCTCTTTAGGGTTTACGGGAGGACACATTTACCGACCTCCTCCCGTGACCCAAAGCTCAGTATATTGCGGGCTATTGGCCACGGTATATACTGAGAGCACCGCAGCCGGGACGGTTCCCAACAATACTGTCTGGATCCACCCAGCTGCGTGCCTATCTAGAGGAAGAGCCAGCTGTGCCCGCCCCCTCCCCCATTCGTTCCTTCACTCAGAGCTGGAGGATCGGAGAGGCAGTCACCACTCTCTGCAGGGAGACGATCGGGAAGTGAGGGGATCGGTGCATGTTTCTGCTCACTTCCCGATCAATAGAGCCGACCTGTAACAGCTTCTTTGTCACAGGTCGGCTCTAACTATGAGGATGAGTGGAAATCACTCACCTCATAGTCCTCCTTTAACTGTTTGTGTCCTGGCCATTTCTGTCATTTGGATTTAAACTGTATCACCATAGGCTGTGCACTTTCTGGCTATCGTAGAATGGTATGAGATAGCTTTTTGTCAATAATTTGAACCCTGACATAATCTGCAAATCTTCTCCACACTGTCTAATAAGGGTTTGACTTTAGTTGGACTTTAGAGAAGAACTCCGTGCAGAAATTGTATACCTGCACTGCAAGGGTTAACTGCTTGTTTTTGCCTAAAAAAATCAGGCTGTTCTCATCTGATTCACGGAGCCAGAAGTGCTCCCTCCTGCCTCTCTCCTCATCCACTGCAGCGATGGTATGTCCCTCGGCATCTTCATGTCCAATACACTGTATAGGTTGTGATAATTTGATGATTCCTAGAGCCGAGAGATGCTCCAGGGACCAATCTAAGAGCCGGCCAGCTCAGAGGATCAGATGAATATAACTTTTTTTTATTCTATCTGAAGACAATAATTCTGATCCTTCTTCTTTGTCTTATGTTACAGTGAAAACAGTGAATCAACAGAAAGTTGTTATTCTTTACTCTGCTAGCCCTTGCCTGTATTATAACAAGACATTGGTTACTACTACATAAAGGCTAATTTAGTTCTATTTTCTTGTTTAAATTACCTGTTTGTATTAAAATGTTCAAAACCAAAGATGTCTAATAATGCAATATGCCTGCGCTCATTTGCCACTTCTTTGGGTGCTGGTGTGAAAATAGCCTCATTGATTTTGTTCACTATCCACATGAACATTCGGCCATAAATGCCCTATAATGGATGACATAAAAAGAAACTGCGTTATACGGATGTTTGTTGCATTGTTTTCTTTTATGCAGTGCACTTTATGAATGTTGTCTATGGACACTTCATAGAAAATACTTTGTTAAAACACTCTGAAGGGAATTTATCAAAACTGGAGCAGACAAAATCTGGAGCAGCTGTGCATGGCAACCAATCAGCTTCTCTCATTCATTTTCAATTCTCAACTGAACAAACTGAATAGAGAAGCTGATTGGCTGCCATGCACGGCTGCTCCAGATTTTGTCTGCTCCAGTTTTGATAAATTCCCCCCCTGAGTAGTTTTTTTTTGCATACAATTAAAACTATTTTGTTTATTATACAATATAAAGCAGTGGGATTTTATTACAGTACAATACAATTTATGCAAATTATATTTATATATCCCCCAAAATGTAAGTTACTTTACACTTTTATATGTTTGGATTGTTAGAAGGGTGGATGTGCCTTAATCTACAGCCATAAAGAGGAACTTAAAATGAAACCCTAGAAAGGGGCTGCCTGTAAAATCATTTCTGTTTTCTGTGCAGTCTTCTTTTTTGATAGTTCATTCAAAAAGAAGAATCGTATAAGTATTGTACCCTCAATTTTACCAATGCTACCTAGCGGATTAGGTCCAAGTGTGACCATATATTCGTAGCCTACATTTATTTATCTAAGAGATCGTGGCACATACTAGCAGTCTGGATACTACTTAAACACTATGATACATAGATTTAATCTTTGAACTTTAGGTAAACCCATTAGACAGGGTTAAGCCGTGACCCAGGGCTAGCCAGATCACAAGTGCTGTATCCAGCCTCTAATAAGCGTACGCGCACATGTCACTCATTTGTTTGTGGTTATCTTATTATGGTTGCTCACTATGAGGCTGAGAATTAAACTGTCTTTGGCCCTGTGGTAACCACAAACAAAGGTAATGCTAAGAATCTGGTCCTCCCATCAGGCTTCTCAATCAAACGGAGAATAGAAACTTTAGAAAGTCAAGAGATGGCCTCCATCCCTGTCCTTCCTTCATTGCACTGCAATATATATATATATATATATAATTAGCCTATTATTATTTATGCATATGAGATAGGGACCTTAGATGGTAAACTCATTGAAGGCAGGGATTAATGTGAATGTACGGTATCTAAAGAGCTACATAAATTGTTGGCTCTGTATAAATGCCTGTACTATTATTTATTACAGGTATTTATATAGCACTGAAAATGTACGCAACACTTTACATATTGAACATTTACATCAGTCCCTGCCCTCAAGTAGCTGCCCTGAGGTCTTTATTGCACATGCATACAGGGCCAATTTAGACAATAGCCAATTAGCCTTCCAGCATCTTTTTGGCGTGTGGAAGGAAACCCACGCAAGCACAGGGAAAACATGCAAACAGCGTCCTGACCAGGATTTGAACCGGGGAGCCACACCGCCACAAGCAAGCCACTGTGCAGCCCTGTAACTTTACTTCACTGCTAAACTGGAACTCCTACTTCAGTATTTGGGAATTGTGCATAATGTTATTACCTTTGTAAAGGCATCTCTGCCATCAGATGCCTGTGAGCAACTCAGAGGCATGGAAACACTCTCTCCTCGTACTATTAGGGTGTGTTTGATAAGGCAATTTCTTAGTTCCATTGCATTGACCTAAATGACAACAGAAGATGTAATCAAAAGTTTAATCCTAAATGTAGATATGTATTTGCAGTTTATTATGCCAGGGCATAAAGATGAGAGGTGACAAAATATGCCGCTAATTACCTGAAGCATAGACGATACTGCGGACAAGTGGCTGGACTGAGACTCACGAACATCACAGCCATCACTATTGCCATACATTGCACCTACAAGAAACAACAGGAAAATATTTATATTTGGTAAAACTAAAAACTGAGAGAAAATGTAACACAAATAATTAAAGGGATTAAATAAATGTAATTTGTAAAGCAAAAGCATATATACTGGCTATACGGACAATCTTATACGTTTATTTAAAAAGTCATACATTGTTTATTTTTATGTGTCTAAGCTTATGCAGAAATCCTTTCTCATTTTGCAAAGGGGTTATTTGCATATGACAAACTAATAAAGGGCAACAACATCCCAAATGGAAAACGTTTTTGTGAAAAACTAGGAGTCTCCTACAACCTCTTAACAAAGGCAGCCTGATTTATCACATAGCACCAGATTCGGAGGAGAGACACTAGTGTTTTTTATTTGTTCAAAAACTGCATTGCAAAAGCATGAAGATACTGGGAATATACAGCCAAACACAGAAAGAAAAGACGTGTCCTACTCTTAGTTTGCGGTAATGTAAAATTGCCTTTTTGATTTAGGTTAAACTCTGGTGCTTCAGTCAAAATTAATTTCAATCTTGGATGTACAACGGATTAGCCATTTCGTTATTTCACTCTTTATGGAGATGAATGGATTCTCTGCAGTAATGACTGGTAGCCAAAGACCATGTAATCTAAGCTAGGGAACAGCAGTTTTTTATGCGTGGCTAGAAAGAGGCACTTACAAAAATTATTTGGCAATGCTGACATACCTTGTTGATTCATGTAAAGTATACATTTGACAATAGGTCGTATATAAAGGAATGTGTAATACAAAATTGAAGTATTATTTCAAGGATCAGCATGAAAAATAGAAAACATTGCCACTTTTGTATGATGTGGAAAAAAATTACATTACATAATAAACCCAAGTTAATATTGCATACTTTGGAACTCCACATTGCCCAAGTGAAGAATAGACGCCAGCAGTATGTTTATGTCAGACTGATCTTGTTCAGAGAAAAGAAGAATCTTCATTGCAGAGCGGACTTCAGCATAGTCCCTGATATCACTGCGCCCCTCACAATCTATGCAGTTGCCCTAAAGTAGGATGAAAATGTAATTTTTAATTTTTTTTTTAATCAAATAAAATAATATAATAATAAATCTACCAATACCCAGTTGTGATCTCTGAAAATAACTAAAACTATAATCAGGTATAGCTAGTAACTGTGGGTTGAAGGTGTTTCATTCCACTGTGGGACCATTTAGGACTTGCTTTATTATAGTAAAGCACATAGGTGACAGGATAAATATTCAATTTAGCTACATGTAGAGGTTGCTAAATCTGGACATAAACACTTAAACCCCTATCTTATCTGACTTCCAGATGTGATGCTTAGGTGAGCATCAGGCGTTTCTAAATGAACCAAAGATAGTGAGGGCACATGCACTGCTTCTGCTCATTGGGCATGACATAGTAAGATAAGTAATGTTGATGATGGACATACTGTATGTCTCCTTGCCCACCGTTGTAGGGACATACCTGCCTGCCTATAGTCAGCCCATATGGGAAAAGATCTCTCAATCAGCATCTAAGAAAATTATTACTATCATTATAAACATAGGAAGATACACAATCATCGGAAAAAAATTTCGGTCTGTTCATTTCCTCTATTGTTAATTTAAAGGTATTGATCATGTAAATATAGTCATCAAGGAAAATATGAGGAACAGAATATGATTGACATTACCACAGTCAGATGCTTGTAGTCTGAACAGCTGCCAAGGTTTAGCTGCTTCTTTTGTTCTGAACTCATTCCGAGTAACATGCAGTAAAATATGTGGTAGTTTCTCTCTCCTGCAGCCTGATAAATGAGATGAATGCGGGCAATTAAAACTATTTTCATAAATGGTTGTGCATAAGTTTGACTGAAGTAGGCAAAATAAGCACATGCTACTGACTTCCATAACCCAAGATCACCGCTGTTCACAGCAGCACTGGAGAGAATGGTGGGTGCACTCCGGCCGAGCCCAACTTGCTTCAGAATCAACAGTTACAGAAAAAAATCAGGTCACGTACTACAGACTTTTCCTGAAAGGTACAGATCGTTCTGCCGTGGATCCTCTTAACTCTGACATGTTTCACCCAATATTAGCCTTAAGGTGCCCATACACCTGCCGATTATCGCAGGTGATGCCGCGATCGTACAATAATCGGCAGGTGTATGGGCAGTGTGCGACCGCATTTACTGTACGGTCGCACGACTTTAGACTTACGAGCACGCTAGAAAACCTGCACGATTTTCCGTGGGTTGGTAGTGCGATCGCAAGACGAAAGCCGCACGGGCCGGTGTGCACAAGCGCATACTGTCCGCTCAGCATTGCAATAATCGGCAATCCCTCCCCTCAGCGGGGAGGGCTTGCGATGATCGCAAATACGATCTGCCTGTCCAACATGGGCAGTTCATACGGGAGTTTTAATAACCTTACAATCATCGCACAACGAAAGTCGTGCGATGGTTGTAAGGTGTATGGGCAGCTTTAGTCATTGAGTCCACTACGACTAAGTACATTATTAGGTGAAACATGTCAAAGTGAAGAGGATCAACGGTGGGATGATGTGTACCTGTGTGCTACAATAAACTTTTTTGTGAAGTTTGCAGTGTGTGACCAGACTTTTTTCTGTAAGTAAAAGCACATGCTACTGTTATGAGTATATTCAATGTAACTTCTATTATACAAACTCTTTTTTATCATTCTTGTAAGTGTTATCATTTTACACGCATTAAATCTTTTTAATTATTACTGCAAAATGGGGAGCGTTCTTTTGTTTTTTTCTGAGCATTGGTGACTGAATGACAGAATGAAAGATTAAATAACTCTTGGAAGATTTAGGAGAATCCAGGAAACTAGTCCATCGGCTGACATTGGAAAAGAAAGGGGAGAAACAAATGCTTCATGGTCAGTTCATAACAAGGTGACCAACAACAGCCGATTTAGGAGGCTCCAGGAAACCAATCCACCGGCTGAGAGTGGAAAAGAAAGGAGAAACAAACGATTTATGGTCAGCCGGTAACAAGGTGACAAACAACAGCTGGTGAGTACGAATTCCACATGATTTAAACACAAGCAAAGGAAAAAAGAGCACACTGACGATTAGAAAAAAAGCATTGACATATATACATATGTATGTGTGTATGTATATATATATATATATATATATATATATATA